CTTCAGCATGTAGGGGAGATTTAAATACATTGTTTGGAAACAGTCTCTGTACTTTTAGATGGATTGCCTACCAGAGGATATTGCTGGAATAATAAGGTAATAAGCCATGTCTTGGAAGCCTGAACTTGTATCACAATCTTTAGTGGCTCAGGAATTAAAAGCCAAAAGCTGTTCTTGGACCAGATTGGCTTGCACTGTAGCAATCAGTGTAATGGTTTTTAAAATAGGATCCTGTACCACAGTAGAACTTGCAGAGGATCTGCTGATCTCTAATTCTTTCCAGATCTGTGCTGTAAATGCTATGGGTTTGTTTGTGAGTTTTACTCAGGACTTTCTTTGTGACTGCAGATCTGTGACTAAAACTGATTTCCAAAGGAAATCTGTGCGGTCATCTTAATGAACTGACAAAGTAATTCTGAAACATTCCTGCTTAACGCTATTCAGAAGTAGGTCTTATTCTGAAATTTCTGAAGTTGATGGCTCCAGTTTTCCATGTGGAAAGAAAATTATTTGTTTTTACATACAAATAGCTTTACAACCAAAAATTTCTCTTTCTGTAAGTTATATAAAGTTTATTTCTTTCTGTTCCAGTCCTCATTCTTGTTTTGGCACCAGTAAAGCGACAAATAAAATGATTCCACTTGCCCCTTGAAGTGCATCTGGCTTATTCTTATCCAATTAAAAACCAGTTTCCAACAAATACAAGTTGGTATATTTAAAAAAAAAAAACATTTCAGGGAAGGCAGAGCTTCTTGCAAATCTTAGTTTTAATCTCATAAGGGCTGATAAGTATGTAATATTCATATGAATCTTCTGGAAATGGGTAATGTGACTGAAATACATAGTAGAAGTGATTTGGAAAGCCCTTCCTTCACTTTAGGCTTAACTAAAACATATGTAGGGTCAATTTTTAACAATTTTTCTGGTAACTATGCTTTTACAATGCATTGTGCTGTTTTTCCTCTCTGTAGGGCTCTGTATTTATTTACATGGGTCACTTTATGGCTTGTCCTCTGATGCCTTTACTAATTCTTTAGTTTTGTTGGGGAGAAAAATGTATATTGTAAAGCAGTATTTTAAAAGGGTTTGTGTTGTAAAATCTTAACTGTAAATAATTTTAATTTTTTTTCATAAGGTATGTGGTACTTTTGCATGCTGTGTGTAGGATTGAAACGTGACTATTTATATAATTAATATTGCCACTGTTAGACAATTGCAACAAATTTTATACAAAGTATGTTAGGTAAGGTATCAATGAAAAAGTCACAATCTATCATCTTTGGATCTAATGTGAAATCCCCTTATATCCCATTTCTCACCCATAACAATTTAACATTCAACACGAAGACTTTGTCCAAACCATGGGAATGGCCATGAGTACTAGGATGACTCCCAAATATGCCAACTTCTTCATGGGCCACATTGAGGAAGCATTTCTGGACAAGTACACCACAAAACCAATGAAATACCCGAGATACATCAATGATATTTTCTTTGGACAGATGACCTAAAGTTCATCGTAGATTTCCACCACAATTTCAACAACCACTCCCCCTTCTTTAAACTCTCTCTAGAACAGTCCTACATTAGCATCAACTTCCTGAACGCAACAATCAGCTTCAACCATGGAACCCTACAGACAAGAAACCCATAGTTCATCATACCTACCTTCACAGATCCAGTAACCACCCCAAACCCCCCCAAGAAATTTATCTACAGCCAGATGCTCTCATACCACAGAATATGGTCTGAGGAGAAAGTCTGGGATATACACCTTAACACACTTAAAACTGCCTACACCAAACAAGGACACTCCACTAGAGAAGTAGATATACTTCATGGAATGGGCCACTCAAATACCTCAAGAAAACCTGCTTTAACAAATAAACCTCCCTGTTACAATTACAACCCATACTTGATGGGGTCCTCATCCTAAAGAAATCTTTCCTGAACCCCCTCTGTTGGCCTTCAAACAACCCTCCCAAGCTCATAATCAGAAGTAGCTCCACACAGACGAGGATACACCAACTGAAAACCACCAGATCCTTCCAGAACAACAGATGCAAAAACTGTACACATCAACAGCTACAATGATCAATAATCCCCATAACACACCTTTCAAGATCCATGTCTATATGTGCTTATCACAATATATGGTGTACCTTTTCCTGTGCACTAAATGCCCCAATAACAACTTAGTGGGTGAAATGAGACAATCAGTATGCTCCAAATGAACTCTCACAGAAAAACGATAAAAGAAAAACACCCTATCACCTGTGTGTGAACACTTTTCACAAAGCTATCATTATATCTGACCTCTCAATGCTCATCCTCAAAGGAAGCCTGCACAACACCTTCAAAAGAGAAGCCTGGGAGTTTACATTCATAACTTTCCTAGATGCTAAAAATCATGGGCTGAATATGGACACTGGATTTATGGTTTATTACAATAATCTGTAACCTACAAACCCCCTCCCAGCTATTTTTTCTCCCCATCCCATAACACCTCTCCTGTCATAGGAGTTAACTGGCCACTTAATACATATTTCAAAGGACAATTCAAGGTGAACTACATGTGCTAAACGATGTGTTCCATCTTGTACATTTCCCAGACCTGAGAAAAGCTCATCCTAAGATTGATAGCTTGTATCTTTCACCAATAGAAGTTAGTCCTGGCTATGACAACACTGCATATAAGAAAACAAAATGGTAACAGTAATCAGTTTGGTACAGTAATCATGCTTAAACTTTCTTCCATTTTGAGATATTCCCAGTTTCAGCAATTATTCCCAATTTTAAGTACAGGGAATCTCTCAAACTGGTAAATCTTTCAAAATGGAAGACACTAAAGTGTAATCATTGTCTTTTTATAATGGATTCTCCTGTTGCTTCAATGGATAACTTCTTTAGTTTTAAACAGTTTTTAGAGACACTCACCTCCAAACTATATATCTTTCCTTTAGAACAAATTCTACCCTCATTTAAAAGTGCCATTTCACTCAACTGAGAAAGAGTAATGTAACTATTCTAAACTAGCCACAGTCAAAATGGTGGTGCAGTTTTGGGTTACTCAGAACAATATATGGAGGTTATATATAGACATTTCAGAGAACATAGGTTGGGCATATAAGCATTAAATAATGTTGATTTACGATCATGTTTTTACAATGTTTTATTCTTTTAAATATGAAAACATTATACATTGAGGTGTTATTTAGAGGACAAATTACACAAGAATTACACCTTCTGTGAGCAGTGCACAATAATGAAACATTTTTACATTTCAAACATCTTTTCTTTCTTGTCAGTTTTCAACAAATGAGTAAATTTTTGTTGCAAACAAGTTACAAAGTGCTGTTATTGCATTTTTGCAAATTCCCACAAAAAAGGATCATGCTTACTAGGATACTTTTTAATGTAGTAAAGATTAAATCGGAATTAGACTTCTAAATAGTAAGATGGAGAAGCTGACGAAGATAATTTAACACACTGAGACAGGTTCAAAGACAGAATGGTCATTTTAAAAAAAGATAATCAATATTCCTATTAAGATTTTTTAAGTTGATTCTCTAAGAGTAAGTTGCTGACAGCCAGATCCTAACTGCTTTATTCCCACAAATAGTCAGTGGGAATATCAAGCATGAGAAAAGCAAGCAAGAATTAATCCCAAGTGTTTTTATTAATAGAAAACCAGCCCATCAAAAATAGTGCCATTGCAGCTGATTAACTCATCTTTCAGCGATAACTCTATAACTTTCTATTACCATATGTACTACAAGTTGAATTTCCGCCCAGCCAGAGGGCCAGTAAAAGGCCTATGCATGAGCTATATCCATTTAAATCCTCCACATGGTGCACAGGCTTTTTGATGGCCCTCTACGCAAGGATGAATTTTGGAGATCACTAGAGGACACATTTGCAGACACTGAAATTCATGGATGTTTTGCCACTGACTTCTAGATTTTAAAGCATGTAGCTTTCATTGTGTTGGGTGGGAGGGGGAAATCATGAAACGTTGACTGGTTTAATATATGAAAGGTTGAAGCTGGATGTAAAATAGACAAGCTAATGTTACTGACACCTATACATTAACTTTCTAGAGAGGAGGCAATTTATTTTTTTCAACAGTTACAATTCTTTTGTAACCAAGAATCTTAAACTTGTTTGTAAGATCACAAAAACATGGAGAATAGGCATTTTTAGATAGATTTTTTTATAAAATTTTACAACTATATCATTTTATCTTTAGTCGTTACTTCATGAGAGTAATCCCACTGACACCAGCAGAATTACCTGCAAATAGGTATTATTCATATGATTAAAGGCTGCAGGATTAGGTCCATGCTTTTTCACTAAAAACTCCTGATCACTATATAATATAACTGAGTAAATAAATGTGTCTCTCTCACTAGAAGGATCTAATTTTTTATGTTTAGAAAATGCTTCAATCTAGTATCCACCTTTCTTTGGGCAGGTCATTTGGATTTCAGTGCAATTGGGTCACATTACCAAAATACAATTTTATCCAGATTAGGTGACTACACCTCATTTTATCTACCTGGGAACAATCCTGTGCACAGGTATATATGCTACATTTTGGTACTTGAGAACTTAAGGATACCTGCCAACCCTATGGGGTTGCTGTTGTGTCTTACTATATTGTATGTCTCCTTCAGTGAATCTGGGAATGGTGTTACAGTATTAAAACTTCAAATTCATTGATACTGTGATGTCACTCCCATTGAAAACATAGACAGTTGGAGCACCATTCATCCACTACCATGAGATACTTTTAGTGACAAACAAGGAGCATTTTATCTCCCCGAAATTGTCTGTTTTCAAACTAATTTTGAGTGGCTATTAAAAAACCCCAAACAAACAAAGCACACCACAGAAGTAAAAGTTCCATGAGGCAAAAACATTAGCAGTGAGCTACAGCAAATTTTACCCGAAGAAAAGTATAGTTCTCAAACTTTCACTTTTTTAAAATTCACTTATATCAACGTTAACGTTCACCTCAAGGAAAAGTTTGATTTTTTAAAATACATTTTTCCTAAACCTTGTCTTTAACCACTTCTAAATATACATCTATAGATACACGACAATATTACTAAAACTTAAGAGAATAACAGAGTGAAGTCAGTGTCTATTTTTTCTCTGTCCTTGAGGTGTTCAGTGCCGATTCTCCTTGACTTTTACACATTGATTTCTGCTCTTTTTCTGACTAAGGCAGGTGGAGAAGGAATGAATGTTTAAACTTTTTACAACAAAATATTTTAAAAATCCAGGCTCTAATCTTACAATGAACTCTACACCAGTGGAGCTCTATACGTAGTGACTTCAATGGCGGAGCTGTCCACCGGCTTTGGAACGAATTGAGACTACTGATTTGTTCTGTGCATTTATGATTCACGTGATAACTGATCTGATTTTTGGTTTTCATTTATAAGAAATTTTGTACTATGCTTTACAAAAGGAGAGTGCTTCTTTGCAGTAATAATGTGTGTACATACACATTTATATAGCTACATTTTTAATTGACTAGAACACATTTAAACCATGAAAGTCTTAACCTACATCTAATTTTCAAATAGTCTTCAACTTGAATGTACTTTTGAAAAGAGGATTATGGATATTTTTTACATACCTGACTCTGCTTACGAAAACATAGCTAGTTTCCTTTGTTCTAATTATGGTCCATATCCTTCCCACGCTGGTTTTCACTGTGGAATGATAAAATGAGTAGAAAGCCCACTCAGATGGCTATAAATCTGTTGAAGGCTGGTGAGCTCAGAGCATCGAGAATCTCACAACCCCTTAATCAGGTTTTTGGGTGGGAAACTCCCAGTGAAAACAACTCTACATAGCATCGTTTCCTTGCAAATTACAGGGTAAAGTGTGCAAAAATGAATGTCGATCCAGTCAGATTTAATTCCCAGAGGTTCCTACTTCATGCATGCAAACCTAAGAGGGACTTGAAGTGTTTTGGAGCCAGGTATGGGTTGAAAGGCCATGGCAGAAGCAGTCTAGATGGTATATTGTTAGAGAGGACAGGAAGAGTCCCAGGAAATGTCATGGAGAGTCTGGCCCTCTTTGTAAATACCCCATTCCTCTGTTACCTTCAGATGCACAGAGAAATGGGTGAAGGTCCAAACTCTCTGAGACCCCTCTGTGGGCTGCTAAACCCTATTCCAAAGTAATGATGCTGTGCAGAAACCCTGTAATTTCACTCCATAGATTTTTCCATCTAACTACAGCCCATTTGTGGTACTTTTTGCAAAAGAGGACTGTATGTACTTGTGTCCAAATATGAATATTTTTAAAAAGAAGGCTGTTATATCCTGCTGATCGTTAACAAGAATTCCAGGGCCTGGACCTACTGAAGTAAATGGCAAAACTTCCACTGACTTCAGTAGGGCCAGGATTTCACTCCAGGATTATACTGAGTCATCTCAGTCTATTTTATTTTAGAAACTACTGTTTTTAAGTGTGTAATGTGGGGTGAGGGGGTACAGTATTAATTGGCTGTAAAACTTTATTTTTGTTTACACTAATGTAAAAAGCTTTAGTTTGTATGACAAGTATGAGTAAAGGTGGATATTTGTTAATATTGCTATGAATGTTTACAATGAAAGAGCTTCTCTAGGCAAATTTCTTGCTAGAACACTTAAAAAAGCCTCACACGGTAAAACAAACTCAAACACTTGGGGTCAGATGTTCAAGGGTATTTAGGGCCCTACGGATGCTGCTAGGAGCCTAGGGGGATTTTCAAGAGCACCTACGTTCTTAACTCCTATTAATGGCGAGTAAGGCACTTTTGAAAATCCGACTAGGCATCTAGCTGCATCTTGAGGCTCCTAAATACCCTTAAACATCTGCCTCTTAGTGTTTTTAAAAGGCAAGGGGTAAACAACTTTATTTTCATAAGTTTAGTTACTCATATACAAATACCACATTTATACAGTGATAGAGTTTGTTTTTAAACATACATTCAGCAACATTTTTCTACAGTTTAATTCACACAGTGGCCTAGATTTTCTGGGAGAAAACCCCCTCCTTGTAAGAAAAGGAGACCAAGATCCAGAAGTTGTTTGCTGGGAGGCTTAGACACAGGGGACCTGTGGCACTCATTGGCCTCTCTGGACAGGCTTCTCCATGGGAGAGGATGCTTTGACCCAAAGTTTCCACAGACAACAAAATTCTACCTGTAGTATCATCATGCTGTGTAAGTAAAATGGTACTTGAGCACTTTCCAATTTTAATAATGGCCATTCAAAAATAGGTATGGTCCTGAGTAACCACCGCATACTATAGTTGAAGCTGTGGAATGACTTCACGTTTCAGGGATCAGGTTTGTTAATGGAGACGGATGTGGCAGAAAGGGGTTATTGTACAAAGAAGTGGTCCTTCAATTTAGAAACCGAGTTGTCAGGAAAAAAAGCATTTCTATTGTACTAATTAAAATATTTAGTTTTTATGCTGTATTTTTAATGTTTACTTTTAAATATTAAAATTAAGCACAATTTTGAGTCATTTAAGGTGTTCAATTTAACATGATTTATATTTTCCACTTTCAAAGTTGGTTAATAACATTTACTTTAAAATAAACCAATAGTTTTATTTGGGGGTGCGTAAATTAACTTAATAAATAACCAGTAACATCACACTCCACATAAAAATAAATTGCAGTCGTCTTCTTATAAACATAAGATTATGATTTCCATAATGTTCCATTGCCTCACTAGCCATTGAAATGTGGCAACTTAAATGTATACTTTGATTATATAGTGAACTACACTGAGTAGAGGGTGCATAAGAAAAATAAAGTGGAAACTTATCAGTTTCTTACAGGGCACCTGATCAAAATCTGTACAAAAGATATGAATATTTTAAGATAATTACCCATTTTTAACGTAATAATATACAGATGCCACCTTTTATAAATGTACCTATATGTTCACTTGCCAATAAAACAGTAAACAAACCAATATTTTAAACAATTCTTATAAATTATTTGGAGCTTTTTTTTTTTTCCCCGCCACTCTCCAACAATGTACAAAAATAATACTACAGGACTATCAATCAGTCTGACCTACCCCTCACTCCACAGAAGAGCAGAGGCTATAGAAATAGAGGTTCTTATCAATCATCACTGTAGATGTCTCCAGCAAATGGTAGGTGCACATGACTGCCTGTGACATTGGGAAGTCGAGACAGATCAGGAAGGTTCTGGATGCGTGACCTGAGTTCTTTTCGCACCTGGGATACTCTGGCTAACTTACGCTTGTATTCCTGTAATGCAAAAGTAGTTGACATTAGATTATTTTCCAGTCACCGTTGCTTTCATGGTGGGATTTTCAAAATCTCATCCATAGTGTTTAACTGACATTTTGTTGACCCTTAAGCGAGTGAGGTCATGAAATGAGTTAGACAACCAGATATTTTCCAAGTAGGAAGAAGAAAAGGAGTACTTGTGGCACCTCAGAGACTAACAAATTTATTTGAGCATAAGCTTTCGTGAGCTATAGCTCACTTCATCAGATGCAATCCTTCCACTCCATATAGCTAAATTCAGTGCCTCGCATAATGACAGGTTTCAGAGTAGCAGCCGTGTTAGTCTGTATTCGCAAAAAGAAAAGGAGTACTTGTGGCACCTTAGAGACTAACAAATTTATTTGAGCATAAGCTTTCGTGAGCTACAGCTCACTTCATTGGATTGCATTAATCAGAAAGCTTATGCTCAAATAAATAAATTTGTTAGTCTCTAAGGTGCCATAAGTACTCCTTTTCTTTTTGCGAATACAGACTAACACGGCTGCTACTCTGAAACCTTTCCAAGTAGAGTTTATCACCTACTGGAATCAGTGTTTGATTCCCAGACAGCTCAGGAATCACAACACAGCTCAAGAGATTGATTTAGTTCACTGTACATTTTGTTTTGGGGGCTTTTTCGTTGTCCTGTGACTATACAAAAACTAAACAAGGAGGATGCCAGTCTTAAATAATACAATTGTAGAAATGTCTACATGTGACTAATACCATGGGATTATTCTGAGATCATTTAATATGGTATTAAAGCATCTTGTGACTGATTGTCTTCTCACTTGCCCCATAACTCTACTGACATCCAGAAAGTTACTTGTCATTTACACTAGCAAGAGAGCTGCAGCTGGCTCAATTCCTTTCAATTAAAGCACTAGAAATGCCAAGCGAGATTGGCCAAATGTCAAAAATGGTTAGACTGAGGTACAGGGAAATTGAATGACTTGCCCAACGTGCCACTGGGAATTAGAGCAGAGCAAGAAGTAGAACCGAACATTCCTGGCTCCCTGCTGCGTTCTAAGCACTTTACAGCTCCTACATTAAAACACTGGCTGGCTCACTACAAAAGCAATTTTCCCTCTCTTGGTATTGACACTTCCTCATCAATTACTGGGGGTGGACCACATCCACCCTGATTGAATTGGCTCTGTCAGCACTGGTTCTCCACTTGTAAGGTAACTCCCTTCTCTTCATGTGTCTGTATATTTATGCCTGCACCTGTAATTTTCACTCCATGCATCTGAAGAAGTGGGTTTTTTACCCACAAAAGCTTATGCCCAAATAAATCTGTTAGTCTTTAAGGTGCCACCTGACTCCTCGTTGTTTTTATGACCTTGTTAATACACCAATATGGATGGCAAGTAAACTGGCGTCAAAGAGAAATCCCAAGTTCCTAATTAGAAGTTAAACACATAGGTGCGAGGAGTTAACCTCAATATAATGAGACACGGAGATGAAATACTGGCCCTCAGCCCCAATAAACAAATCCTTTGTTTTGTTTATATTAATTGACACACAGTCACAGACCATCCAAAACGATGCATCAGGCAATGTGAGGTTCATGTAACCCAAAAGGGTCAGAAAACAAACATAGTTCTTAACGTCATCAAAGCAAAAGTGATCATTAGCAATTCAATCAGAGTCCCATAAGGTACTAAATGCAGTACAAATAATAAATGATCTATAGTTAGGAATCAGAGCTTCAAAATTTGCTGACTCGATACAGAACAAAGCTGTATTCATATTACTATTTTCTATTATATGAATTATAAGAAAGCTCTATAGAATTGTATATCATTTGCTGAAAGGGGGGGGAAAAGAGAGTGGTCATATTTGTCCAGATCACCTTCGTTGGGAAGAGGCTCTGGAAGTGGAAAATGTAATCCTGATTGGGTCCTTTGGACACTACAGCAATATAATGTACTGTTCAATATTTTATGTTTCAGTAGTATCCATAGGTCCCAGTTGGATTGACTCTGTACACACACAGATACAAAGACATGGTCCTTTGCCACAAAGATCTTAAAATCTAAAAGTCTGATGATAATCCTATGCTTTCATCTCCATTTGTTTCTAGTCCAGCATGCATGAACACATGCTTGAGAACTCTTTGGTGACATAGGGGGCACAGACGTTCAAATTAAAGGAAAGAATAAGGATTATTGTTCACAAAGACAAATAATTTGGCAATCTGTATAACATTTCATTGCATTAGGTTCACCAGTTTCAGAACACAAATGGCTAGAGGTCCAACACTAAGGTATCAGATTCTAAGGAGCTGACAGAAAGCTTGAAGCCAGTAGATTTGGCTTCAGTAATGATATAAAAATGATATAAAACAATGCAGGAGAGGTTCAATGAAATCCTATGCAAAACCAAACTGTCCAAAGGAGCTAAAAATTGGCAAAAAGCCTAACATCAATTAGCCTAACTATAAAATAATATTAATGGTAACCTTTCCTTAAAGAATGAGGAGTACTTATGGCACATTAGAGACTAACAAATTTATTTGAGCATAAGCTTTCGTGGGCTAAAACCCACTTCATCAGATGCATGCAGTAGAAAATACAGTAGGAAGAGATATTTATACACACAGAGAACATGAAAAAAATGGGTGTTGCCATACCAACTATAATGAGAGTTATCAGTTAAGGTGAGCTATTATCAGCAGAAGAAAAAAACCTCCTGTCGTGATAATCAGGATGGCCCATTTCCAACAGTTGACAAGAAGGTCTGAGTAACAGTAGGGGGAAAAATAAACATGGGGAAATAGTTTTACTTTGTGTAATAACCCATCCACTCTCAGTCTTTATTCAAGCCTAATTTAATGATGTCCACTTTGCAAATTAATTCCAATTCAGCAGTTTCTCGTTGGAGTCTGTTTTTGAAGTTTTTTTGTTGTAGTATTGAGACTCTCACAGATCTTGGGAGACAGGCCAGTCCTTGCTTACAGACAGCCCCCCAACCTGAAGCAAATACTCACCAGCAACCACACACCACACAACAAAAAAACTAACCCAGGAACTTATCATTGCAACAAAGCCCGTTGCCAACTGTGTCCACATATTTATTCAGGGGACAACATCAAAGGGCAAAATCACATCAGCCACACTATCAGAGGCTCTTTCACCTGCACATCTACCAATGTGACATATGCCATCATGTGCCAGCAATGCCCCTCTGCCAGGTACATTGGCCAAACTGGGCAGTCTCTACGTGAAAGAATAAATGGACACAAATCAGACGTCAAGAATGGTAACATTCAAAAACCAGTCGGAGAACACTTCAATCTCCCTGGTCAATCTCCCAGACCTAAAAGTCGCAATACTCCAACAAAAAAACTTCAAAAACAGACTCCAACGAGAAACTGCTGAATTGGAAGCGGCACAGGTTCCTTAGCAGGTTGCTTGACACAACACTAAAATTCCCTTCCACTTGTAACACAGCATTCCCGTATTAACATCCATCTCAGGAATATGTAACAGAAGCTTTTTCCATTATAAACCTCATGTAGAACTAGAATTTCCATTATGTAGAACAGATTTTACGAAGCAATAAATATTCTGGAATCCAATGACCTAATTTTTCATGTACTTGCCTAACACAGTCAACTAAAATTCTGAATTTGTCCAAAATGATCACAGGGATTTTGGGCGCCCAGCTTGGGATGGAGGCCAATTTTCAGAGCATACATGCTCAGCAGTTTCAGGAAAAACAACCCCAACGAAGCGGTTTCCAGTTGGGCAATCAAAATTGAGATATTCAAAATCACTAATCACTTTTGAAAATCTTGGCCTCTGTACTCTGAATGTTTCTACACAACTGCAGTCATCTAAGCATTCCTGGAGTGCTGTAAGATTGATAATAAACAAGCAAAATAAACTGTTACTAAACATATATATAATCATTTGCTATTTTATCATAGTAAATATTACGTAATGATGTGTACATATCCCTTGAGTGCTATCAGAGTGATATTCACAGATTCACAGATTCCAAGGCCAGAAGGAACCATTGTGCTCATCTAGTCTGACCTCCTGTATAACACAGGCCACAGAACTTCCCCAGAATAACTACTACAGCAGGGATCGGCAACCTTTGGCACACAGGCCACTTTGTTTACCTGCCGCGTCTGCAGGTTCAGCACGGGACAAGAGTTGCGCTAGCCACCACTTTGGGGAAAAACGTGCACAAATAAGCAAGAACAGGACAAGAATAGATCTGACTCATATCATCAATTCTCATCCCAATAAAACAACCTGAAAGTCCCTACTACTGACTAACAATCAGCCAAAGTATATTAAATAACACTGTCAGAAAAAATCTGAGAGGGTTTTCAGGTCCCAGTCAGGAAAACAGGTGGGAGGGAGGAGGAGGGAATTGTGCATAACACGGGCAAGAATCAGCTGAACTCAAAAGCTCTAAACAGCCATCAAGTGACTTTGCAGCTAGAGAAGATCCTAGACTTACTGGAAGGCACCAGAGGAAATTGCCCTTGTAAACGTGTGTCTGTTTGCTGAGTGCCTCACAGGGTTTCAATTACGTATAACAAAATAAGACATCATCATTCTATTTACAAGCAGGGGGTTGTTATATAGGTTGCAATAAAATATTTAAATGCAAAGTGCCTTTCTGCTGCTAAACCAGGGTTGTGAGTTAGATCCTTAAGGGGGCATTTAGGGATCTGGGCCAAAAAGTGGGGATTGGTCTGTTGAGCAGGGGTTGGACTAGATGACCTCTGAGGTCCCTTCCAACCCTGATATTCTATGATTTATGATTCACTTCCCGCAGCCCCCATTGGCCTGGGACGGCAAACCGCGGCCAGTAGGAGCTGCGATCGGCCGAACCTGCGGATGCGGCAGGTAAACATTGAAAGAGACGGGGTCCAGTGGAAAAATATATGTGATCATGTAATTATGACTGTATTATAATGCACATGAACAAGGAGGGGAGCAAATTAAGGTTGCATA